GGGAGGAGAAGTCACAGGAAAAGCAGGAAGAGCCTTCAGCTCAAGTGCAGACTTGACACCTGTAGGTGAAGGAGCAGGATGAGGGGTGGGACGAAAGAGTTGCAGGCTGTCGTGTAGCCCAAGAAGAGCTCTGATCAAGATGCCCCACAGAGGAGGGCCGCACTGAGCAGAAATGACCCAGTGCCCGGCTGTGCTGCGTGCCTGGGAGCTGCCTGACATCAGCTTTGCCTCGGCCTAAATGCTTCGGCAGGTCCCGCAGCCTTGCGCTTGAGCCATGTCAGCGAACTGTGTGCCTCAGAGCAGGTCCTTTATGAAGTCACATCTTAGGGGACATCATAGTGGCCACAGGCCACGCCTTGTGTTGCACGGCTTCAGTATTCTGTATGTTTGCAGAGCACTGCCTCCTTGGCTCTGGTGGGCCCTTCGGAGGGTGCACTTAGGAGTGATAGATAAGCTGGAGGGTAAGGCAAAGCGTAACCCCAACAGTGTGACCAGCCCTGGGACTGCAGCAGGTCTCCGCCATTCCCCTCTTCCACTCTCTGTTCTCATTTTCTCCCCCCTCAGCTATCACCTCTGCAGCGTTGGTGACTTTGGTCATCCCCAAGGGTCTGATTCCCTGGGACCCATACTCTCATCAGGCCTGATGCTCTACTTGTTCATCCATAGCCACAGTCACACGAGGGAATCCCAAGAGTCACCTAAGAGGCCATCTGGGTTGACCACATATTTCTCCCTGCCCCCACTCTTGCCACAGTCCTACTTCTTCATAAGTGTCTGCTACCCTTACTAAGACTGTTACTCTTCTACTTGATGCTTTCTGGACACACAGACCCCAGAAATGCCCCTCCAGTAGTCACCGCTGAATACAGTGGGACCTTGGCTGTGCCTCTTGGTGACAGTGCACTTTCCATAAAGACCAAAACCTCTGCAGAACTCAGAGCTCAAGAGACAGAAAGCACAAAGTTGGTCCCTAATTAAGTAACTGGGAAATACAGAAACTGAGGCCACTGTGGTCTCCACCCATTGGTTCAAAGACTCACATGTTCTTCCCGAGTGCCACTTGGAGCTCCCTGATTCAGTGCATGTGGCTGCAGGCTGGATGATAACACCACATTCTTACAGGCATCACCTCTAACTTTGTGCTTCAGCTGCACCTTCAGCAGGCCATTCCTGAACTCTGTCAACTAGCAGCTTATGGCTGACGCAGTGTGTGACACCAGAGGATCCTATGTACACACGCCCACTAACACTCCTTTACTTTGATGCCTATCCCTTGCTAGGATTTCATGTTTGTGCAAGTACAAATCTACAAATCACACTCTGGAAACCCCAGGATAGTGATGTAGATTGAAACTCTGCCATAAAGAAATAAAAACCTCAGAATAGTTCTTTATTCAAGAAAGAACTTTTGACTCTTACAAGACAGAAGGGACCCAATATGGAGAAGTAGTGCCATACAAGGGTCTATTGCTAGTACATGAGACATTCAGAGTCAGTGGTAGCAATACAGGCCTTGGTAAATGGGACTCCATGCTGCTGGGTCCAGCATGTCTCATGCTGTGGCCATCATCTTCATACTGCTCATGCTGTCAGTTCTGGCTAGCCGATGGTGAAAAGTGAGAAATGTCAACTTGCTGAGTCATTTTTCCTATCTAACCATCCAGCCCCACTTCTTTTCCTGATGCTTTCCGGAAGGCATTAATACACTTTTGATTTGGACAATGGTCACTGCTCAGAAATTTGTGTATATTCCAATGTTGGGCCACTTCCCTTTCCACACAAAGTGAATTCCAAGATGCACTGCACAAGTTCCACCCATCAGGAAGTTCTTCCTCCCTTCCTATGTCTCAGAGGCATTTCTGGGTGGGTGTGGGTGGAGGATAGCTGCTCTCCATTTTAAGCTCACATCCAAAAATATCTGGTGGTCTGATAGGACTCAGGTCATAATGGGAAATTCCAGCCACACAGTTATTTGGCCTCCCATGGTCAATCCTATTCGTACCAGGGCCCAGAAGAACAGCAGGGTGTGTTTCTAGAAAGCCATATAATTTTCAGATGCAGACAGCACAGCTGTTCCAGAACCCCAGGAGCCTGAGTGCCAATTCTCCCATGGGCTCTGGCCTCAAGCCTTGCCCTGCGTCCTTCCCCACAGGACGCCTGAGAGACGGTGGGTCTGGCAGATGACATGGCCGGAGAGCTGCTTGTCCGGCAGCCTGGTCCTGCTGCAGACCTCTCTCCTGTTCTCGGCCTCTCTCCGAGCTCTCGGCCTTCCGTGTCACCTGCTTCGTGAACCACAGCAGCTGTCCTAGGTGTACAATGCGTTCTCCCCAGAAGCCAGAGAGGGCCACTAGGTGCAGCAGTTCCTTCTTGGGGAAGGAAACTCAAAATGTAGCGATTCTTCTTTTAATTTGAAGGGTGGACGGAGTGAAACTGATCCTTCCTACCCCACTCCCAGCTGGGCTCCGAGGGCCACTCTCCACCAGGCCGTTAGCGCAGGGCCTCTTTTGAACCCCTCCCCTGTCCCTCCCCGCACCACCCCGTCCTCCGGACTGTCCGGGTCACCCCAAACAGAGCCGGCTGTTCCTCATGGAGAACCATGCTGTGGGGGAAGGGCAGCCCGCGGGGTGGGAGCCAGAAGCGAAGCGGGGGCCCATTTGCGATCCTCTAGCGCCACCTCGCGGCCGTCGCGGGCACGACCTCAGGAGAAATCCCGCCGAGGCCGGTCTCTCCGCAGACGGCCATTTTGCCCAGGAGAAGGTCGCATTTCCCGGCAGGCTGTGCGGCCTGAGCTCCCGGAGTCAGGAAATGGCGGCATGCGCATGCGGCACACAGGCCTAGGGGCATACTATCCGGTGCACACGCCAACTGCAGGAGGATCCTGACCCTATAGCGTGTCTGCTCATGCCCAGTGCACACATTCTGCCTCTCCTGATTCTAGTCCTAGGCAGCCTAAGAGAGGGGAACCTCTCCAGACCTCTCCCTTTTTCTTTTCTCTCCCCAGAGTGTATTCCCAAAAGATTTCCAGCGTTCTAGTACCATAGTTCAGATATAGGATGAACATAATAAACTCTTTAAAATATCTTAATTAGGTCTCCTGTCCTACCTACCTCTACTCTCATACACTTTCTTTCAACATCTTTCTTATGACTCTCTCAAAAGCTAATGGAGTAGGGAATCCAAGCAGTCATTGCCTTCACCCACCAGTGTCCTGCCAACCAGCAACTTGTGGCCTGCTCAGCTGACATTTTAGAACCATAAATTGCTGAACTTTGTTAATGGCAAGCCTTAAAGTTGTACAATTGGTAGCAGGTAGGAAACTATACCTTATAAGGTCAGAATAATGGCCCTACTGGGTTTTTTTCCCCATTCACTCTAATGCCAAGGGGACCCCTCACTCAATTTACATTGTAATGGTGAGGTTCATTTGGAATAGCCAACGAGATTTATTGAAAAATATTAACTAAAACCATTGATGAGAAGGGAATGATACTAGATACAGGAGTTCCTTACAAGCACGACAGGCCACAAGACCTTCCATCCCCCAGGATTTCCAACAAGTAGCCACATTCTCTCTCTCTCTCTCTCTCTCTCTCTCTCTCTCTCTCTCTCTGTCTCTCTCTTTGTCTCTCTCTATCTGTCTCTCTCAGTCTCTCTCTCTCTCTCTCTCTCTCTCTCTCTCACACACACACACACACATACACACACACACACACACACACACACACACACACACACACAGCTATCTATCTATGTTGGGGCCCTCCAGCCATACTGTCCCTTCTTGAGGGGCCAAGATCTGGCCCTTTCCAAGACATGATCTCTGGTTATGCACAATCCGGCCAAATTCTTTGAGGCTGACCCACTGTAGAGTGATCCTGCCTTATTGATATAGGGAAAATAAATGTAACTCTCAGCCCTGTTCCACATCAGATACACTGAGTTCATGTTCCCCAAAACCAAAGAATGAATTCTTAAGTAAAGTGGAGGTTAAGAGTAGCAAATATTTATTTATTTATTTAGAGAGAACTTCTGAGAGACAGGAAGGAACCTGAAAAATGAGTTGCCACAGACCCCACTATACAGAGGAAGTTTTCTAGAGCAAAATCAGGAGGTGGGCATAAAATCACAAGGTGGGTAAATTCAAGACAAACTATGATCAACTATTATTTATTTATTTAACTATTATTTATTTAGAGAGAACTTCTGAGAGACAGGAAGGAACCTAAAAATGAGTTGCCACAGACCCCACTATACAGAGGAAGTTTTCTAGAACAAAATCAGGAGGTGGGTATAAAATCACAAGGTGGGTAAATTCAAGACAAACTATGATCAATAAGATTACAAGTTTAACCACTTAGGTAATATTGATCCGATGGGGAAGTAAGTCTCTTAACAAGTATGCATGGAAAAGACAAGGACCTTTTAAGGAAGAGATGATTCAGGGAATCTTGGTCACGCACCAGGGTCACTGGTGTTAATTTATTGATTATCTTTTGGGGAAGCATGTAGGCTTGGAATTCTGGCTTTATCTTGAGGCATGGTCAACAGATGTGCTTCTGGCCACAGTTCTAATCCTCTGTATTGACTCCACTGGGGGCTCAGCATTGTTTCACTGCCAGTAATATTCTTGTCTAGCTTAGCTGTCTATAATTCTATGACTAGTATAGATAGTCACAAAACACCAGAAAGCATAGCAAGGAACACTCCACACCAAGGACTCTAAGTCAGAAGTAGCAACAGGACTGCAACATCAAAGCATGATCCCTGGCCTTTCTTCTCCATCAATACTCCAGTTCTTTCTGTGTGCAGTTGTGGTCACAGTCATGGTCACAGTCACAGGATAAACATCAACAACTCCATCATCCATGCTTCTTTTCTCTTGTGACTGGGCTCGAGATAGGACCTGCTCTGATGAGAAAACACACAACTCCTCAAGGACAAGGGGCAGGCAACAGGCCCAGATGCAGTCATAGAAAGCAGAGGTTGACCTCGCAGCACCGGACAGGAGCGGTCAGAGGCTCGGCAGGCTCAGAAGGAAGCTCACCACACATGCCCAGGCCTGCAGGTGGATGGCTGGGTGCCCCGGTAGGGCCAGGCCCTCTCCTCCGTGCAGGGTTGATGCCCACCTCACAGCTTTGCCCAAGAACAGCGGCCAGGTTGGGGTGAGCGTTTACCTGCACCATGGGTCACTACAGGGCTTACCAACATGAGTGGGCTTCCCGGACAGGAAGCAATTTATGCCAGGGACAGGAACAATAAATGGAGGAGTAATGGGGCACTCGCACCAGTGAGAGAGCCAGGCAACTGGCACACGTGAGATGGCCTCTTCTCCCTAGTGTACCCATGATCACTTGGGTCACTTGGAAGAGGAAAGATGTGGGAGTTTGGTTGAGGCTGGTCAAGCCTCTCTCTGGGACCTGCTCCAGGTGCAGGATAATGTAATGGCCCTGGCCTTGCCTCCCTCTGAGCCCAGGGCCCTGCCACCTGAGTGGAGGAGCTATTCTCTTGGGGAAGACTTGGGATGGCTGGTCTCCCCAGCTCCCTCTTCCTCTTCCAACTCCTCCAGGACACCCTTGGGTGCCCCCAGCATAGGCTCCTCGGCCTCCACCTCTCCTGCCTGGGCGAGGCTCTCTGGCCCACAGCCAGATCCTCCTTGGCCTGACCCAAAAGCAGTGCTCATCGGGGCTGAAGTGGAAACCCCAAGGGCATCAAAGGGCCCTGCCTGGCCTAGGCCTGCAAGACCAAGAGCACCTTCCTCTTTCTGAGTGGTTGCCTTTGGGGCATCATCGGTATCAGAAGCTGCCTCAGCAGCACACTCAGGATCAGAAGCCGCCTTGCCCCTGGCCTCTTCCTGGGCAGGGGAGACCTGCGAAGCTTCTTCCAGGACAGGGGCAGGCCCAGCAGCATCTCTGTACGAAGGCCCGGCCTCGGCAGCCCCATCTCCCAAAGGCTTGCTCTTGGCGAAGGCAGCCTCCCAGGCCTCGGTCTCACGCACCAGCTGGAGCAGAGCCTGGAAGCCAGGGGGGCGCCTCTCCAGGCGCATCCTTCTCAGCCTTTTCTGGAGAGTCCAGTTCGGCCTGGCCCGCATCAGCACCTGCCGGGCACGCATCTGGTCTGCGGTGGCAGGGTGGATGGCCCCCTTCTCCACGGCCGCCTGCAGGAGACCTTCCAGGCGCGTCACGTAGGCTATGAGAGTCTCTTCAGGCCACTGTGAGCAGATGAGGAACTTCAGCCGTGCAGCTACCCGGATGTCCTTATTTCCAAACACCTGCACCAGTGCCGCCAGGCAATCCTGTGCAGGGATTTCCGGGTGCGCTTTCAGGAGCTCACAAATGACATCCAGGGCAGGGCCATCCAAGCACTCCACCAGCCTCCTCCGCCTCTCCCTCTCTGCTACATGGCGCCACAAGTACAGCATGTCGTTGGCATGGTTCAGCCAGCTCTCGAAGGACTCTTCCTCAGGATCCAGCTCCTCCATCCCGGAAAAGGCTCTCAGTTCCTGGTATGCCATGTTTTCCATGACGGGCTGCAGGGCCTGCTCCCACTGCTGGGCTCCGGCTCTATGATGGGTCGCTGCGGCCACATCCCAGGCCCCTTCTTCTCCTGGAGGTCCTGCCTCACCTGCAGCTCCTGCCATACCCACAACTCCTATAGCACCTTCAACTCCTGTGTCACCTGCAGCTCCTTCCTCATCTGATGCTCTTGCCTCATCTGCATCTCCTGCCTCACCTACAGCCCCTGCTTCACCTGCAGCTCCTGCCACACCTGCAGCTCCTACCATATCTGGTGCTCCTTCTGCATCTGCAGCTCCTCCTGCTCCTGGCTCACCTGCATCTCCTACCTCACCTGCAGCTCCTGCCTCACCTGCAGCTGCTGCCATTCCTGCATCTCCCGCCATACCTGCATCTCCTGCCTCACCTACAGCTCCTGCCATACCTATTCCTTCCTCACCTGCAAGCCCTGATGCTCCTGGCTCACCTGCAGCTCCTGCTTCAGCTGCAGCTCCTGCCCCACCTGCAGCTCCTATCTCGCCTGCAGCTCCTGCCACACCTGCATCTCCAGCTTCACCTGCAGCCCCTACTGCTCCTGCCTCTCCTGCAAGCCCTACTGGTCCTGGTTCTCCTGCAGCTCCTGCCTCAACTTCAGCTCCTGCCGCTCCTGCCTCACCTGCATCTCCTGCTGCTCCTGCCTCACTTACAGCTCCTGCTACATCTGCTGCTCCTACCTCACCTGCAGCCCCTGCTGCTCCTGGCTCACCTGCAGCTCCTGCCTCGCTCACAGCTCCTGCCTCACCTGCTACTCCTGGCTCTCCAACAGCTCCCGGCTCATCTGCTTCCCCTGCCACACCTGCAGCTTCTGGCTCAAGCTCAGCTCCTTCCCCATCTGCAGGCTCTGCCTCACTTTCTCCTCCTGAAGCTTCTTTGTCATCTACAGATCCTTCCTCATCAGAAGCTCTTCCCTCACCTGTAGCTGTTTCCTCACCAGGAGCTCCTGTATCACCTGCAGCTCCTTCCGCATCTGAAACTCCTGAATCTCCTGCCTCACCTGCAGCTCCTTCCACATCTGAAACTCCTGCAGCTCCTGCAGTTCCTGCCTCACCTGCAGCTCCTGCCTCACCTGAAGCTCCTGCAGCTTCTCCCTCAGCTGCAGCTCCTCCTTTGAGCATGCTTTCCTCTACTGCTTGCCCCTGGAGCTGTGCAGGATCTTGTAACTCAGAATCAGGGACCTGGGGCAGGAAGATCACCCTCCAGGGCTCCCCACTGCCTGGTATTTGGTGGGGGATCAAATTTCGGTTTAAATACTCAGCAAACTCCACCAAAGCTACCCTGGCTCCAAGCTCCTTTCTGAAGACCCTGCAGAGCACTCGGTATCTGCCCAGGGGTCTCAGCGCAGCCTGCACTCTCTCTTGAAACTCATCTTCCTCACAGTCATCAGGGATGCCCATGATGAGCAGGCAGCGCTGCGCATTCACGCCCATCCACCTGCACCAGTCGCGTAGCATGGACAGCCCCATAGCAGGGGTGCTGGGTGAAGGAAACATGACTGCACAAGATACTAGCTGTCACAGTCTCAGGCGTGGCCTGTGGATGGAAAAGGGAGAGAGGGATGCTGGTGCCACAGCCCAAGCCTACTGGACAGCTGGAGACCTGCCATCACCCTTTCCTGCAGGAGCCAAGAGCATTCCTCCCATTCCCCCCATGGCAGCCAGAGCTCCCCACTCCTGCTCCCTGCTGCAAAGTCTCAGAGCCCTGAATGCAACTGGCGCTCTCCTTTCTGCTCCCAGTGAGAAGCTGTTTCACTTTGGCAGGTATCTCCAATCCCTGCTCTCACTCCAGGAGTTGAAGCCGCTCCCACCAGCATCTGCTGCCCAGTAGCTTAGAGCCCTCCCCTTCTCTCTCTCAGCTGCAGACCCAGCTCCTCCTCTGATCCCCACAACCTGGCAAACCCCTCCAGCATCCTGCACAACCACAACCGGAGCCTCTCTCTTCCCTACTGTCACCTGCATCTTCACAGCCATGAGACACCCTCCCTGCTCAGATTTCTGCAGCCCGGGGAGGCCCCCCTCTCTGCAGGCATTGTACTGGAACCCTCTTGTGCTCACTGCTTGCTGGGACAACAGTCTCGCCTCTTCCCTGGGCATTGGCCATCGTCTCTCCCCACTGGAGCAAAGATCCTAGCTTCCTGCTCACTTTCTCTGACTCTGCAGATGCTGTAGCTTCCCCCCCGCCCCCCGGCCCCGGGAAATGCTGCTGAGCTGATGCTGGAGGCAAGTTCAAAATCCTGGAATAGGAAATCCAAAAATGTATCTCACATGGGTATCCCAAGGCTGCAGAGTCTGGGGGTCTCCCATGCTGTCGGTGCTAAGGCTAGGTGGGATTCTTAATTCTCCTGGAAGCCCCAAAATGAGAAAGATCCCAGTGTCCCCATGCAGGCAATGGCTGGACCCACGGAGATGTCAGTGTCCATGTGGTGAGAGGACCTGCATGGTAAGGGCTTGACGTGGCAGAGACCGACTGAAGCCTCCAATAGCAACGGGCACATCCACGGGCCCTGCAACCAAGAAAACAGCCTAGTGGGAATGCGGGGAGATAGGGGCAGCGGGAAGAGGGAAAGCTCATGGAGGAGAGCTGGGGCTGGGAGCTGGAAGTCAGTGGACAGCCAGGTTCTGGGCCTCAAAATTAGATCTCCAGTGTCACTCTGCATTCACAAGCCTACCGCATTATTTCAGAAATCTCCACAACCAGTAGAGGCTGACTGTTCCTGACTCAGGAACCTCATCCAGGCTCCTTACATTGCAAAGTCAGTATTCATCTCCAAGGAAGACACTGCATCTGAGTGGGATAAGGCTGGTTTCACTAATGGCCAAGCAATCATTTTGCAAAAAGCTCTAAGGATCACTGTCCCTTACCTGTAGCTGGACAATAAAAATGCGCTTCTTGCATAGCTGTCCTGGAGCCCAACACATCGCCCCAAAGCTCTGAAACGGAAATAGAAAGGGGTGGTGAGGCCAACGTTGGTGTAGTTATTGAAGACTGGTTGTCACAGCCAGTAAAGTGGCCCCAAGTCTGAGCCCTGAGGTAAAAAGGGAGATGAGAGGCAACATTGGAGCTGTGTTCCCAAGGGACATAGGGATTGGATGAAGTAAAAAAAGGTGACTCTGCTTCCACAGACTTCAGTTAAGAGAGGCCTTTGGGAAACTCAGCCAATCAATAGCCCATCTAGAATCAGCTGCCCATCTGACCAGCAGCTTTGAGAGTTTCCCAATAGGGGTTTTTTGGTGCGTCCTTAGCACTGCTGCTCAAGCACTGCAACCAGTGACAGGGAGCAGCCCTTACCAGGGTTCCATGACCACAGACAGTGGAGTGGCAGCAACACAGGGTGTTATGGATGAAGAACTGGTGGTCAACTTAATGCCATCTGGATTACATCAGCATGGCACTGAGCTAAGATGTTCCACTTGAGGAAAGTTGCCAGCATAACTAGGTGGGGAAAGAGAAGGAGGGCGTTGAGGCGTTGAGGCATTGTTGCATCATAGGTTCTCCTACAAGTTGCTGTTTGAGCCATTGGTTCTCCTGGAGAAGCTCTGGTCCTCACATCGAGCATTGCTTCCTGGCTCTGAAGGGAAAGACCTGTGCCACTTGGTCTCCAGGATGAACTCCTCACGCTGGCTTCCTGGCACATACCTGACTGTGCTTGTTGTCGTAGGAGCCCGGGGCCACTGTGTCACTGAGGATGGCTGTGGTGCCTTTCAGGACAGCCCTAGTCTTTGTTGTGAGTGTGACTTCTCAGCTCCAGCGTAGAACCCTCATCCCACTAGCACAGCTCCTTCACCCTGCTGGCATAGACTTTCTGGCTTCCACCGCTGACCCTTGGGCCTTCCCGGCATGAATCCGTAAAAGAGACTGGCGTGAGTCCTTCTTGTGGGCTCTGGGCCTCCAGTTGGACTCGTGGGAGGTGTTCTCATGAGTTCTGGGTTTTTACCTGGACTCATGTGGGACATTACTGTGGGATTTAGGCTCTTGACTAAATAATCTATGTCTTTGGTGTTACAGATAGATTTCCTGCATTTTCTTGTGCTAACTCCCAGTGACCATTATAAAAATAATATTATAAACTCCATGTCCTGATTCTACTTGTTCTCCGCACAACCCCTGACTACAACAGAGGGAGACACACCTGCACCCTCTTCATCATTGGTAGCAAAACTATGGCACGTGTGCCACAGTGGGCTGTTTGTGTCACTGAAAGCTCTAAAGGGTTTCCATCACTGCTCTTTATTACCAGTCTTCTTCAGTTTTTATGAAGAATGCTCAAACTATGGAAGTTCAGTCACACGAGTGAAATTTGTACTCACCTATGTTATCTTAAGTGTTTACAGTGTGGCTCGGTGTCTCCTAGAGCTACCGCATGCCACAGACCAGCAACACTGGGCATATTTATGCCTGCAAAATATTTTTGTCTCATCATACGATCACTTAGGGAAATATTTTTATCACAGCTTGCACAGTGGCACATGGGAAACAGTAACACAAGCAGCTAATAAAGAATCACAGGGAACACTGATAGGAAGACAGAAGTAAGTAGGCACTTGGCAGAGTAGCACTGATGCTCCCAGACTACACATGACAACAACACAAATACTGTACACAATAACTCCCTGGATACAGGTCTTCATAGTATCAGCTTACAGGAGGAAGCACATGTGTAGCATGCCATGTGTAGTGGGGTGAGTGGTGACAGCTCATTTGGTTGCCAACGTTTTACCTGCCTAAGGCCTCTAGAAAAACTGCTGTTCTAATTAGACTGAGCAAGGCAAGTTCCTTCCCGCAGACCCAGGCAGTCAATCTGAAGGCTATCCATCCATCCCAGGCCTCTCTCTGTGCATGCACTGCCCTCTGTCGGAAGGACCGAGGAACTACAGCCATTTCTTTTATTGATAGTCTTTTTTTTAATTTTAAAGAGATTAAGACAAAACAAGACATAAAAAAGCAGATCAGAACAGAACAATGTAAGTAAAACAGTATTTCACCAGAAGACAACCCATAATTAACAGTAACGACCACGATGTCTCTTTCTTTGAAATAGTTGAGTATAACTTCATATACAATAGTATCAAACATAATAAAATAGTATAAAAACATTCAAAAGAATGAGAGTATTACAGAGTTTTCAGAGCCAAATAACAGAAAAGAAACAATGGCTATTATATTATTTCATTTGTCATAGGAAATTTTTTTATACTTTCACACATAATATAATCCAATAAAGTACAACAGGACAGAGCCAATGGAAACAGAAGAGCAAGACCATGGTAGGACTTCAGAGAAGATGATATTATATCAGTATTGGCTATTATAATGACTTGTTTCCTCAAATTAGCTGTTCATACCCTCACAGATAATAAAATCAAAAAATCAGGACAAACACATTACAACTGTGATCATTATAAGGCTTCAAAACACTGTAATGGGGAATCATGATTAGCATAAACTCTTATGTACTCTTTCTTACTATTGCTTACACTAGGGAGACTATACAGTATTTATACATGTGAGTTTGATTATTTCACTTATGAGTATGGTCGCAAGTTGCGCCCCTTTATTAGTAAGTATCTCAATGTGATCATTCTTTATAGCTGAGTAGTACTCCATTGTATAAAAATACCACATCTTTTTTATCCATTCCTCAGTTGATGGACACTTAGGTTGTTTCCAAGATCTGACTATTACAAATTGTGCTGCTATAAACATAGGTGCACATATATCACTGTGGTATGATGCTTTCAGTTCTTCTGGAAATAGGCCCAGAAGTGGAATAGCTGGATTGAATGGGACTTCCAATCCCAGATTTTTGAGGAATCTCCAGACTGACCTCCACAATGGTTGCACCAGTCTACACTCCCACCAACAGTGCAGGAGAGTTCCTTTTTCCCCACAGCCTCTCCAGCATTTGTTGTTGGTAGTTTTCTTGATCCTGGCCATTCTTTTTGGAGTGAGATGGAATCTCAGTGTTGTTTTAATTTGCATTTCTCTAATGACTAACGATGATGAACATTTTTTCATGAATTTATTTGCCATTTGTATTTCTTCATCTGAGAACTGTGTATTCATCTCAGATGCCCATTTTTGGGTTGGGTCCTTGAGTTTCGGGGGTCCGATTTTTTAAAATCCTTTATATGTTTTACAGAGAAGTCCTTTGTCTGAGAGACAGTTCACTAAGATGTTTTCCCAGTTTGTGGATTTTCTTTTCACTATGCTGGAGATTTATTTTGATATGCAGAAATTTTTAATAAGATGTGATCCCAGTTATTGATTCTGGGAAGTAGTTCCCATATGGTTTGATTCCTATTCATGAATTCTCTACCTACCCCTATGTCTTCAAGATGTTTACCTACTTTGTCTTCCAACAGATTTAGTGTTTCTGTTTTAATATTCAGATTTTTGATGCATTTAGATTTTAGTTTAGTACATGGTGATAGGCATGGGTCTAGTTTCAGTTTTTGGCATATGGAGAGCCAGTTTTTCCAGCACCATTTATTAAAGAGACTGTCGTTTTTCCAGTGAATGTGTTTGGCCCCTTTATCAAAGATAAGGTGGGTTGAGTGTGTTTGTATTGGTAGTTGTATCTTCTAATCTATTCTATTGAT